ATTTCTCTGCTGCAAACGCGGTGCAATCCCCATAAATATTGGCCTCGGCGGAATTGGACTAACGTCTCTGAGTCCTGGTCCACTGTCGCTTTCGGGAACCTTCGCTGGATCGCTGGCCATATTCCAAAACGGCTGGGGTGGAATCTGTTACGGCGCCTTTCAGTCTTCTCCGTATGTCGAAATTATTATCTGGGTACCTTTACTGAGCCTTCGCACAGGCTATGTGTAATTGGTTGGAGATCTCCCCAGGGAGTATTGATGATCAATGTGTATGAGATTGCGTGAGTCCTTTCCGTCCGGCTGAGACGACCTGGGTGTCAAATTGCATCAGATCGGTTAATCGCGCGAATAACACCGGAATTTTCGCTGTCTCTAACAATGTCAAAATCATTGATTTCGTCCCTACCAGTACGGCCCCTGGCCAAGGCTTCACATATGTACTGTGTGCTGGTTGCTTCAGCTGGGGCGGGCAAAATATCTTTGATCTCAACACAGAGCTTGCATGGTTCAACATCGCAATCTCGCCCAACAAGCCTGTGGACAACCCAAATGACCCAAATACTACCATCAGTTTCACATTCAGCCAAGTGTACCACCTCTTTGCAGCCAATGTTACGACTTTGAAGACCGCGGTAGCCACTGCGGATTGTCCTGAAAGTACGGTTGGATAGGAGTTGGGAAATGTTTGGCGTTTTTTCAAATCTTTGGCGTATTACAGAATGTTCTTGTACAAGTGAAATATGATCTGCTGTTTTGAGTTGATGGAACAGTGTTGTGTAGTGGTACAGTACGTGTGAGGGATTGAAAGTCGGATCAATTCTTACAAGCGCTAGCGGATCAGTCTGTGCAACTTGAAGCTCCAGAAAAAGTACTCAATCCTTCACGGAATTGGATAGAAATATGATGGGAATCTTCGTGACGAGGCAAATTAAGAGAACTTTTAACTGTGATGAGGGTCAAAACCAATTCATCTGTGGCTCTGCGACCAGTTGAACTTGAAGGTCCAATGAACGGGACCCGCCACAATCGTGAGATAGTGTCGCAGAATCGGACGCCGTGTGACGAGAGTCAGAGACTTTTCTTTGCCAGACTCAAGTCGCCGACGCAGCATGTGAGTCTTTACCAAATGATCGATATCGTGCTGGGGGGCGGAATCGACTCACACATTTGCTTGATTGTGTGCCAGCGACATCCATCCTGAAATTGGGCCTCGCAAGCACAGGATTATTCAGAATTTTGAATCCACCATGCACTGAGGACCGCAAGGTACCACACAGGGGAGCACCAAACCCAAATCAAGCCCGACTTGAAACTTCATCTGCGAGCGCCGCGAGAATCGGTAGACAGTGCATTACTTGCATCGTCTGGAAGTGGTTTCGGACTGAGTGAGGTCGAGGAGAGAAAAGGCATAGTTTACTTGTGCGGGTCAATCAAGGTGTCAATTAGTGTTGCTAATCAATTTTTTGAAATGGATGTAGCACGAGGAATACATTAGAAAAAAAATCTGAAGATATTTGAGCATCTAGAACTCCCGGAAAGCCGTCGTATCAGGGACGGCCGCCGTCTCCCCGTGTGCGCCTCTTCGGTTCCTCTCAGAGAAGAGGTGGTTCGAGTCTGTCCGATCGTTTCTTCCTTTTTTTGAATTTTTTATCGCCCAGCCTATCGCATCTGCGCGAAGGAGAACTGCGCGGGAATTCTAAGTGAAAAAGGCTCACTTGCGATCTGATCCCTCCTGCATTTACATACCGAGCGCTGGGGATTCCTCTTGCTCATCTTTTCCACAGGCAATCCACTTAACTGAACTCTACCAAAGAGGAACCGAGGTGGGTGCCCTCGTCTCATGTCCGTGGTTCCAATTGTCGGAGGCAGGATGGTTGCAGTTACCTGTTCTTATTTACTTGGGCTGCTCTCCTTTGTGCTGACCGAAATCTGTGAGCTAGGATTCGGACTTTGATGTACTGCGGCACTGAATCTGAAGGTGCACGGAAAATCCTGACTTTGAATAAACCCAGCTACACAGGCCTACTTCCGAGTTTAACAGCCAAAGGAATAAGTACGATCATAGCATCGTCTACGCTCTGCACTCGTCCCTCCCCCAACGGCTCAAATGTTCTTCTTCTACATTTCGAGAAGCCTCTTGTCCTTTTCCATACGCGTCGTACTCGAACCCACCATTATCCTGTCCAGCAGCGCATCTGGCAAGCGCTCGACAAGTGCCAAGATGGCGGCGTGCCTCCACCGCGGCACGAGAGTATGCCTCTCGCATCCGACCCTATTCAGCGCACTCCTTGCTAGGACCCTGGAAGTGCATACAAAGAGCCCTTCAAGGTCCCGATGCTTAGAAGACTGCACCTCACCCACCAAAAGTCCTATGACCTCCACCTGCCTGCGCTCCACGCGCAGCTCAACTCCCAAGCTCCTACTCCACGACATGTTGAACGCTTTGGACGGTCAGCATGGGCCCCGGGACCCTCGCAACGAAAGACCCGAGGTTCAGCACCAGCGCGGGCTGCTGCATCACGGGCAGCAGCGCGCGCGTTAGCAGGGTGGGTAACCCCATGTTCAGCTCGAAAAGCTTTTGTACATCGACGGCCGTGAGACGTGTCAACGGGCGGAACGCGGGACTGGTGAGCGTGCTGCCGCCGATGTTGTTGACCAGGACGCGGACGCGCACGCCGTCATTGGCCAGGCCGCGGACGTAGTCGTCGATCGCGCCGGGATTGGAAGGATAGACGTCGAGGACGAACAGACCGGTGGAGATTTGTATTGGGCTTTGAGTGCAGTTTCGACGGCGGCGAGTTTGGTGGGATTGCGACCGTGCAGAATGATATTGAAGCCGTGTGATGCGAGCTCGTGGGCGAAGCCCAGGCCGATGCCGTCGTTTGCGCCTGTTATGAGGGCTCAGGAGTGGGTTTCGGAGGCTGAGGGGTCGGATGCGAGATAGCGGGAGAGCGTGCTGCGGTGCAGAATGTATAGATGGAGGAAGGAAAGGATATTGTAGGTGTAGTATGTGGCTATCGAGTTACCCAGGGCGGTGAAGATGCTTGTCAAGGTCGAAGAGCTAGCCATGTTTCCGCTTTATATCTGACAAGGTTTGGGGGCACTTCGTTGCGACGTGCGTAAGCAACAAGATGGAGACTGACGGTGGGATTTGCACCAAGACTCCTGCTATCTTTAGCAGTGGGTGGGAAATCGCATGTCGAGCTCGGCTTCGCAGGGAATTCTGAGCAGATGCCACACGTGTGGAAGCACGACGGAGCTCCTGTTCCTGATTTTCTTCTTTTGACCGGCATTCCAGAGAGTAAATCGAAGGCCAGGATGAAAAAAACAATCATGATGTCAGAGACTTTTCGGAAATTTCATCGGCACCAGTCCACAAACGGATGAACCAAGAAATTTGATTCAGCAGTAAGAGTCGCGGAAAGTTAGGACGGCTGCCAGCCTGAGTGAGATCGAGGGAAGACACGACATGGAGAGAGTCGCGATTTGTTTGCGCGTGTTGAGGATGATGCCGTCTGTGCTCAGCAGCGCCAAATATGCACCTGCCACAAACGGTCATGTTGGGTTTCGGGTGGCTGACGGTAAGCCATGGTCATCCTCAGTGCTTCTATTTCCCGTACCACCACCACGCCTGCTTAGTGCCCACGCTCCTTACCCCACAGTCCCTCCTCCCTGGCGTACTACACGCTCCTTCAAGCTTCTCTTTGCCAAATTCCCTAGTCGGTCCCTTGCTCAAGCCATCAGGCTCGTTATCATGCCGACGCTTCAAGGCACCAATTCCTCGACCCCGCTCCCGTCTACCGCCGTGAGCGCTGGAGTTACGATCGCAGGCCACGTCTACGCCCCCGCACAAATACACGCCTTCCTCCGCGGCGCTGGCGTTCTCTCGGCGTTCCTGCTTTTTTCATATCTCGCGCTTGTGACCGTCCCAAAGCTTGCATTACGCGCGCGGCGTCCGGCTCTTCGTCCTGTGCATGTACGAGCATTCCTTCTCTGCAGTCGCCCATTTTTTGATCTGATTTGTGTGATTGCTTTTCGATAGCCCACCCGCACACGCGGTGACGTGGGGTCTTCTCCAGTGACGCCTTTCGCACCGCGGCCGCCACCGTTACGGACCCCTACCACCGTCGCACATGCGCACCGCCGCCCCACCATCACCAGCACCGCCAAGGCGCGCCTGCCTCAGGCTTACTCTGCGCATCCGCACCAACAGCAACAGCAAGTACCCGCACACTCGCACCAATCATCACCACCACTAACCCCAGCAATCTGGGCCGCCCTCGCGCACCTCCACCACACCGCCGACGCGCTTGTCGGCGCGCACCCCCTCGCCGTCCCTCTCGCTGCCCGTCTCCCTCGTACGACCCATGCTCCCGCACTCGGCGAAGTCGACGCACAGACCTCAAATCCTGGTAGCAACCAGAGCCACCGCTTCCCCTGGGTACCTGCCACGCACGTCTTCGGGCTCGTCCGACCCCACCTGGCTCCAGGGAAGAAGTGCGCAGCGCCTGGAGCAGCCCTGCTTTTCGCGAGTTTGCCGTCCAGCGTTTGTTTGGTCAATGATTCAGCGGTGGATAGCAAGAAGGTCAAGCGCAACAGCAGGCGGCGCCCGTTCTCGCTTGCTCTCTTCAACGGCGCCGCGAAGGACGGGACGGGCAGCGCCACCGCCAAGACCCACGCCGGGACACGCCCCATTTCAAATTCGGTGGTGAAAGGCGGTGCGGGCAAGGAAAACGCGCCGGTGGCGAACGTAGACTGAAGTACTGTGTCGGGGTGTCTGGTTGAAAGTGTACGTGTATCGATGGGACTGTATCTGCGCGGGGCTCAATGTACGATTTTCTTGGGCGAGATTTGCGTGTGTGTCAACGTCGAGTCCTCATCAAGTCGTAATTGCGTGATACGTCCCGACGCAAAAAAAACGTGTGCGTATTTAATGTTGTGATCCTGCAATAAAGGTTTCCACGACTCAATAAAATGCACAACGCACAGGAACAGCAGAAGCCGTCGTAGACCGAGGATAGGTCGCCCTTGTCCAGTGTCTAGTGACATTTCCTCCAGCGAGGGAGACAGAGGTTCGAGTCCTCTCGATGGCATGAAAGTATAATTTCCCTCTTTTTTATTCCCTTCATCTAGCATTGCCGCAACCGATCTGAACGTGAAGAAACGTCGGGTCTGGCAAGTTGATTTGGCGACGTAACCAATGCAAGTACCCTCCTTATTTTCTTTCTTCAAACGGGCGGCTTTGACTTGCGTTCTGGTTTGTTCAGGTTTCGCACCATTCGAGAACAAGCTGTCGTAGACCAAGGTCGGTTGCCCTCATCTCGTGGTAGCTATGTATTGCGAATACATTGGGGAGGCGGAGGTTCGAGCCCTCCCGATGGCATGAATTTGAATATCGCCTTTTTACTAAACTCTTCCCGACTCACCCGAACTGTAAATTTCTTACCACAGAGGATTATTTACAAGTTTACCGGCGGAGGCGATAACCGATTATTTAATCGCTAACTCTAGTCTCAATGGACGATCGACCTCAGATTCGAGCTCTGATTATAACTACGGATCCGCACCGGGCAGCTATCAAGGGCTATGGATCGCCGGTGTGCAGCTATCAGGGCTACAAGGAGCCACTCGGCAACCACCAAAGCTACTGCACATTAGATTGTTTGCGCAACAGCCATTGGAGCCATTCAATGGCTGTTTGGCGTTGCGCAGAAATGGCAGGTGAATGGCTCCACGAAGCCATTGACGTCATTTTTTGGCGGTGGAGCCATCAGTTTGCGCAACGTCAAAAAGCCATTGAAGGGCTCCAATGGCTGTTGCGCAAACAATCTATTTACTTTTAGCGACGTAGGGAAATGTTTTTTTCCTGATGTTGATTGAATGGAACTACTGCAATTTTCTTTGGAACATGGTCTCCTTTGCTGCAGACTTATAACTGACTAGCCAGTTTGCTGCTCAATTGGCCTGGTCTCCACAAGATTTTCAATAGCATTGAATGGTTCTTTGCTTCTGAACTCTCTAGCTGATTTTTAGCACTGTGAGAGCATGGAAATTGAAGCTGTACTGCAGTTGAGTAGCTCTGTTTCCTGTCATTGATTCTGCCTGCAGGAGTGCTTGCAGATAAGTACAAGCCGCCATGAATTCCATTAATCTAGCCCTTGCCGAAGATTTCCGCATGTCACGGTACACCTCCAGAGTTGACGGATTGACGTATTGGTTCAGCGGGTCACAGGTCACACCGCTGCCGAGTTGAATTTAATACTACAGTAAGCACTCGAGAAAGAGTGTAAGTCCGCAAGTACTTGCCTGTTCCAGCTGTCTCAGATTTCAAGTGAGGTGATAGATAAGGAAAAGGACGAGTTGTTATAATCGAAGGCCGCAGCTAAATGAATAACGATTGCACGGAATTTTCAAATTCTCATCCGAGCCACTAGCGGAAAGCAGAGAGAGAGCGAATGTGTATTGGAAAGGCATGGCGTACAACATTCAGTTCAAAATCATGAATTCAGATAGCGGTTGAACTACAACCTCGAGCTTGAACTGTTTGAAAGCTTGCAATAGAGCGCGAGCGTCTCAAGAACCATTCACTAGCACTATTCGACGTACAGGTAATTAGTCTAGCTAACTGGGGATGGCGTCCGGGGCTGGTAATCTAAGTGGGGGATATCAAGCTGTATTCCCACCATCACCGAGTATTGATGATCCGCCCGGGATGCTCACCGATCACGAGGTTTCACTTACCAAGCCTGCCTATTGATTACTCGCTTAGGTAGAAGGTTCTAGATATTCTGTAGAGTATAAAAGCTTGTAATAATGGGTGACTTCCCATCACACAAATCTATGTTTTTCAGATACTTCGCGGTGCCAGTGATGGCAAGTATGAGTAGAAAAAGTATTGTATAGGTGGTTTGGGACCCGTAAGACACTTAACATATGTGTATATACACTTTTGCGGGCCCGGAACTAAATAAGGAGTTACCGAAGGCCCGGTCAATCAATACCATCAAACAACATCGACCTCTGCATGAATCCCGACGCGTTGATGCACCAGATGGACCTGGTTGACGAGGAGGAAGAGGACGAGATGGACTGGGAGCTTACTGCCATGCAGTAGCCGCAATTGTGGCAGGGGTTTTGGTGGCGCGTCAGCAGCGCACAGAACGGCGGCTCGAGCGTCGGCTCTACTTGATGCGAGCTCAGCTTCTGCCGGACCCACGACGCGACACACCATGGCAGGTGTTGTACATGAGCAAGAGCGACCGCGCCTTCATTACGACAATGGGATTTGACACGCAGACTTTTGAGGACATTCTCGCAGCCGGCTTCAGTGGCACTTGGGATATGACACCAATTCTGCAGGGGGATACTGCGGCCGCCGGGAATCCACGACCTGGGGCACGTTCTTTGGATGCAGCCGGTGCGCTAGGCCTCGCTCTACACTTCCTCAATTCCACAATGCGGGAGATCAGTCTTCAGCTGATATTCGCGTTAGTCCCATCCACTGTCTCGCGGTACATCCACTTCAGCCTCGACATCCTACTTGCCGTACTCCGCCAAATTCCTGATGCTCGTATACAATGGCCGTCCAACGTCGAGGAGTTCCAGACATTAAATGACTTGATCATCACACGTCATCCACTCTTAGAGGGAGCATTCGCAAGCATTGACGGGCTCAATCTGCCCCTTCAAACTGCGGATGATCCTGAGGTGGAGAATGCCACATATAATGGATGGCTCTGCGAGCATTTCATGAGCTCTGTGCTTGTATTTTCCCCAAAAGGTCAGTACTGTATCTGTACTGTATTTCATGTATGCTGAATCCGGAGTCTGATTTTGTATCAGGGACTATAATTGCAGCAAAGCTGAATGCGCCTGGAAGTTGGCATGACTCGAGAGTTGCACGGCCTATATATGAGAAGCTACGATCACAAACACCCGATGGCTTTTACCTTGTTGCTGACACTGCATTCCCTCGTGGCGCAGCTCAGATCGAAGGTAAGATTCGTGCCCCTATCAAAACGGGGCAGACCATTCGAGGTACAACTGCTGAGATCGAGAGGAAGCTCGCTTTTGATCGCCAGTTGCTGTCATATCGTCAAACGGCAGAATGGGGGATGCGCGGTGTGCAGGGCGTATTTGGGAGACTTCGATTACCCTTGGACATTGACAATGCAGAACGGCGAGCAAACTTGCTCGAAACCTGCTTCAGACTTCACAATTTCCGAACACATAGAGTGGGGCATAATCAGATCCGTGCAGTCTATATGCCATTGTGGCGACAGACGATGGAGGACGAGCAAGTGTGGGATGGATTTGAAACCATGCTGTTCTCTGAGCAGCGCCGCAAGGACCGTGTTGCACGATTCCACAATTTTGCTGTATATGATTAATTGTAGGAAAACGAATGTTTTGATTTCAAATTAAGGAGCGACATGAGTTGGACAGGAGTAAGAAACATTAATGAAAGTATCAATAGCCCGAGGAATCATACGAGAGACGAGGTGTGGAGGGTATACAACTTGTATAGAGACATGTAAACAAGATTAGTCTCGCTGCGTGGTTGGGCTAATGATAAACCCGAGCGGGGCGCCGCCACGTCGGGGGGTTACGATAAGCTCTACAGCATTGCCGGAGACGAGGGCGTCAGAGGTTGTGTTGGAGGTGAAAGGAAGCTGCGAGGGACCGGGTGTGGGTGTGCGACGGCGGCTGAGGGGGCGAGGATGGGGAGGGCTCGGAGTGGGAGTGCGCCCACGGTAGGGGGTGCGGGAGCGCTTGCGCTGCTTCTTCTTCAGCCGGTGATCAAAATCAGTGGCATCTGACGATGCTTCCGTTTCCCAAAAAGTCGCAGCACCACCGTCGGAAAACTGGTGCTCAACGCGGACCTTCCCACCAACACACTGTATGCCATCGCGCTCGGCAAATGTGGTGCGACCCCGGCGACGAACACGACGGCGATGGTGGGAGGGGCTGCGAGACCGCCCATACGAGCGATCATAAGATCGCCTGCGTGTGACTTTGTCGAGGCGCGCAGCCCAGGTACGCTCCATGTCGGCACGATCCTGCTCGCGCTTGAGGTTGTTGTTCTCCTGCAGGACAGCAGAGAGCTGGCTGCGAAGGCCATCAACTTGGGCGGACAGCGTCATGAGCTGTGTTCTCTCGAATGAATGGTGGGCCCGCGCTTCATCGCGCACCCGCAATGTCGCCGGGTCAAGACTGTGTACAATTTTGCTGACAGCATCGGTAGCGGAGGTGTGAGAGCGGCGAAGAGGTGGGCTGGTTGCGCGACGAGCAACAGCAGAGCGCACGGGCTCAACGACCTTGGGGACGTCTGAGTCGTTGCTGTCGTCGTTGTCGTCGTTGTCAAGCTCACTGTCGTCATCGAGGTCGCGCGTACCGGCCTTGGTGTTGATGAGATCCTCGATCTCGTGTGCCCGCTTGACTTCCGGAGGAAATTCACCCGTGCCGGTGGGCTTTTTCTGCTTCGTATACTATGTAAAAGAGTTAGTAAATGCACGCCGAAATGAATACAGCAACGCACCGACTGGTACTTAGTCTTGGGAGACCCTGCAGCCCGTTCTGGACGCCCCACCGACATCGCTTTTGCATTATACACCGCCTCTACCGACTTCCATCCCTTCTCGCCAGTCGGCAGTACTTCCTCAACCGTGTCAAATAGCAGGTCCTTGGCGACTTTGTTGTAGTTCTGGACACCACCACGACCGGTGCGAGTCTTTCCACGGGCGTCATCGGCGTCGGATTCCGACTCAGAGGAGCCAACGCGGCCCTTACCCTTGCCCTTGCTCTTCTTGGGCTTATGTGAGGGCTTCGCGCGAACCTCCTTCTTGGAACAAGGCCGGTGTTCGTGCTCAACACGGTGCTTGGGATGAACAAACGGACCATGCTCGCGATCGTCGCGCAGTAGAGTCGGATCGATCTGCGCAGCGGAGTTCACGACGGGCCGAAGGGAAAACTGGTATTGCTCCTGATGGAAGGTCAGTAGGGAAGGGCGACACAAAGGGTGAACGCACCTCTGGATGAACGGGGCCATCAGGTCCACGTCCATCGCGCCCGCGGTACCCTTGATCAGCATAAC